ATGCGGACCTTATCAAAGATATGCTCGCTGAAAATCCGCGATATAGTGTGCGCGAGATAGCGGATGCCACTAACATACTCAGGACAACGGTACATATAAGCGTTTAATCAAGATGGGATATGTGAATCGATTCGAAGTTCCACACCGTCAAATGTTCATCGCGACAACGCAAAACCGCATGTTGCGTTGGACGTAAGACAAAAATTATTGCAGTTTGATCGGGACGTTCTACCTCATCCTCTGTACTCCCCAGACATTGCTCCATCCGATTATTACTTGTACTTCTCGTTAAAAAATTCTCTCCGTGAGAAACGGTTTAAATTCGTAAGCGAAATAAAAACGCACCCTGATCAATATTTTGCAAATAAGCCTCAACAATCTTGGAAAGACGGCATAACGAGGCTTCCCGAAAGATGGAAGAAGGTAATAGAGCAGAACGGTTCATATGTAACTCGATAAATCAACTTTAAACAACAAATATCGTGTAATCATTTCGCATCAGAAAAAAGGAAAGAACTTATGGGACACCCTAATACAATACAGTGATTAGAAAAAGCACCTAGCGGATATAAAATGTGTAATACGTGTATGCGTGACACAAAATGTACTTTATGCGAAGAAGAGTAACTGTATGCGAAGTCGCGGAGATAGCGACCGACCGATCGTCTTCTAGGCTGACGAACGCCTCTGTAGTCCTCTGGGAAGTGTCTTGAACTGGAACGTGCAGTCCTTTTATACTAAGTTCCTTAGATGCAATTAGGCTGCCCTCTCCACTATTTCCTTTAGGTAAATTCCAGGTAAACGAGAGTCCTAATGTATACGCGTTTCCCCGAGAAGCTCGGGCTTGTGCCTGTATTTATTGCCCGTATGTAGACACGTGTGTGCGAGTATCGTTGTATATACCAAACAGTTTCGAATAACGCGAATCTCGACGACTACGTGTACTTGGCGCGCGAGCTGCTCGCAGGAATATCACGAGACCAAGAGACAAAGAGAGGAGGACGCTGCCTCGAGTCCTCCGAAACAGGGAGCAATTAGGTCACGCCCACTCGAAGCCTTTTAAGCAAGGAGAATGGTTATCCTCCGCGACGACGATCTCCAGGGCTGGATTTTTAGGGGATGATGAGTGAGTAGCGCTGAAGAGCAATCGAGTCGCGCCCACTCGCAGGCGTTTTGAGAATAGAGAGAAGTTTAGTTAGCCGCGAAGTCATTTCCTCTTAATCTTAATCCCTGAACAGCTAGCTCCGCCTATCTTTTCGTTCGGCTTAGCTCGCAGAGTTCGCTGACTCCTCCGGCAATAACAAAGGCTCTCCTCTTCCACGAATTCGATGATCGGGGAAAGCACGGGCAAATCGGACAATGATAACGAGCCGAGAGGGAAATTGATCTCTGGATCGCAAGGATCGCGGAAATCGTAACGCATTCGATGTGCCATTTACCGGATCCTGAATCAAGTGGCGCCAAAGTTGTAGGTCGTTTCGTCAACGTTTCTCGCGAGGAGAAGCTCGCATGGGATATTATTTGGTCGCTGACCTATCAAGGCGGTCTGCCGCACCTACCCTATCAATTGCTCTTTTTCGAGTGTGCCTCTTTATCGAGTCTCTCCCTCCCTCTCTCTCTCGCTCTCGCTCTCTCTTTCCGTCCCTCCGTCTCTTATTCTCGTCTCTCGTCGCTTCCTTCTTCTCCCTCGCGCGATCGAGAGAGACTCCCCTTCTCCCTCCGTTCTTTGTTCGCCGCACGAGGAATGGAAACTTCTCACTTTTCCGTGGCCGGGCAACACGTGCACCGGTCCTCGAGGACACCCGGTACACTTTCGCCAAAATTCCACGCGGCGACGATCCTCGAGGCTCCTCGAGTTTTCTTCCAGCACCTCGTTAGACCGCATTCCTGCCTTTGTGCCCCTCTTTTCCGTACGCCAGATGCTCGCTTTCTTCCGTTTCTGTGATCGGAGACGATGATCGACCACCTTGACTCCGATCGTCGTCTTGCTGCTATTCGGAGGACTCTAAATCCTCGGCTGCCCCGAAAACGGCGTCTGTCGTAAACACGATCCCTCGAACGATCGATCTCCAATTTTCTGTCTTAGGATTATTCAGATTGCAGAGACGCTTTTGCCATTGATGGAGGAAATTTCTTTGTTGCAACGTACATTGGCCGTTGGCCAGTAAGGCGTCGCGTTTTTTTCCCAATCGATGGCAATACAGAAAAAGAACGCAACGACTTATCGTCCGACCCTATTATTGTAATAAAAATTAGAGAAAGGCTGTTTGAACAAATCAGTCGCTTTTACGGTGCTCGTTGCGTTCACCGTTGAACGAAAAACGTTCGATCGCGGCTTTATCGCGGGAACCTTGAACCGCGCAAGAATCTTCTTCTCTTACAAGATGGCGGAACGATTGGTGCAACGTCAGAGATCTTTCTCGTATCGATCTCTCGCAACTTTCACATTTTTTTTCGGGCAATTCGCTCGTTAACGGTAACGCGTTTTATCGATCGTTCCCGAGATTTTTATAGCGCCTCGTACGAAACCTGTCGTAATTACGTTCGACGCAAGAATGACGAGCATATCGCGAAGATGAAATTGATTCGAGCGACCGCAGTAAATTGATTTTAATAGCCGGTGAACGCGAACTGGTTCGCTCATTCGATTAACGTCGGACCCCGATTCCGTCGGCCGTTAATCTCTAAACCGAAATCAAGTTGAAAATATCGGAATTCGGAGAAGCTCGACCGTAAAAGCGATTTTTCGGTCCCGTTTAAGCGCGCCACGGTCTTCTTCCCCGTCCGCTTTAAGTAGCATGAGCGTAAACTGGGACACAGATAACTCGTTTCTCGGAACGGCAAGCGACAAAAACGCGACGCTTTTTGCCGGTCTCGGCACCCGAGACCGGCGTTAAAACACTTTTCCTCCTTTCGGTAGCCGTAGGCAGCTTTTTTTATCCTTGCAATCTCTACCGTCCTGGAATTTTTCTGCTGCATTCAATTTCGCTGCAAAATTCCAGCGAACGTGGCTACGATTATATCATTCGGAATAAACCGTAGCCACGCTCGACGAATATCGTTGCTAACTTTTCAGATTTTTCTACGATCGAAAGCACTGTTTAATTAAAAATTGATACCGCTGCAATTTCAAATCTGCCGGTACAATTCGAGACAATACATTTACTCGGATTTTTAGCGATTGTTGCTACGACATTCGTCCGAAGTAACAAATTCATCGAACAAAAATGTCTCGTAAGCGTATCTTCGGATAATCGAGTACCTTGAACCCTAGCGTTAATTAATTGCTCCGTCGCGACGGTCTCTCGTTTCGACGAACGCGATACACGGCGTCCACCTACGCAGCTTTCCTCTCGACCGATTTAATTATCGGCTCGCGTGGATCCCCGCAAACGGAGGGACGCGCTCGTATCGAACGATCGGCCGTATTAGCGGCCGTAAATCGTCCCGCAAACGGTCGTTACGAAAGCGAATCGAGCGAGAACGATTCCGACGGTAATAGATCGATTCACGTGCGCGCGGATATTCGGTGGAATTCGTAAGTTGGCGGGGCCGAATCGGCGGCGTGTGCGCGCGCAGCGCTGCGGTTGCGGGTTGCGCGGCGCAGCTGCGCCAGCGCCGCGAACGGTCAGTTCGGCTACGACCGTGGCGCGGCGTAGGTCGTCTGTCCGTGGGTTATTGCGTTCGATCGCGAGCGCGTTGTCATTCTCGCCTTTGTGCCAGCCGGGTGGAGGTTAATCGTACTAACCGTTCGCCGAAAGTCAGCCGTCCGATCGCCGAAAGCCGCTGGTGCTCCTTCGTATGGAACCATGTCACGCGGTACGATCACGAACGATCGCGCGGTCGACGGCTGAAAACGGCGAGGCGACGATGACACGTGAAAACCCGTGTCCCTGCGCGGCCGGCTGCAACAACGGAGATACGATTTCTCGTGTCGATGCTTCGAGAGGTCGACGGTGTATAAGTGCTCGCGCTCGAGGTTCTCGCGGAGATAAGGACTATGGCGAGGCGGAGAACGGCAGATAAAGAATACAGAAGTGCGTGCCCTTGGTGAACTGTCAAATGGTTAGTCTCTCTCCTCTCTCTCTCTCTCTCTCTCTCTCTCTCTCTCTCTCTCTCTCTCTCTCTCTTTATCTTTACTTTCCTCCGCAGGAATCTTTCGTTCCGCTTTATCGCGTGAAATACGACCTCTGGCGACCTTCAAGGACACCGCGACCACTCGATCCGGACGTACGTCGCCGCCGAAAAACTGCACTCGGCCCCTTCGAATCGTCGATCGCGTGCTTCGATGCGATCTTTTCCATTCGAGATATCACGTGTCGAAACGAAACGATAATATAAGTCGAACACCGTGGGATAAATTGGCAACTCGAGCTTGGAAAAAATAGCGGAGAGATGCGAGAGGAGATCGCAGAGTCGCGGCCGCGTTGTCGGAATAACTTCGGAAAGAACGAATCGTTTGTCAACTGGTACGTACTTTTGTCCCGACGGAGCGCTCGGAGGAGCGTACGCGACGACGGGACGGCGGACATCTGTGCGCACGCAGACCGGTGCGGAGGTTGAAGCGAGACGGGCGAACGCACCGGCGGGCATGTCCTCCGTGTTTACGTTCCGCTGAAACGGTGTTCTTGTTGCGAATGTTTTCGAGGCGGGCGTCGAGGCGCGTCGACGTACAACGAGAACGTGTCTCCATCGGTTCCCGTTGACCACAAGGCTCGATTTACGTAACGAACGGGTTGCGAGACCGCATAGCTTGCATATCTCTTTTCCAAGAACGTCCAAGTGCGTGGTGGTTCCACGCGGCGACGTTCCGGGCATTCAGCGGCGGGTGCCTTTTTCCCTTCCGGTTCGCTTCAGTCGAAAACACTGTACATATTATGGAAACCGGTACCGATTTAACCTTTTAGGTACGGCTGAATTCTACGCGAGGCTATTTCTCTGGACAGCAGAGTCTGATGTGTACTGTACAGAGTCTGATAGTGCATATACAGGGTGTCCCAAAAATGTCTCGCAATCCGAAAGTGGCGGGTTCCTCGGGCCATTCGAAGCAACTTTTTTCTTTACAAAAATGTTCTCCGAGGCACCGTTAACGAGTTATTAACGAAAAACAGTGACCAATGAGAGGCGAGCTCGGCTGGCGCGAGGCGATCGAGCCAATGAGCGGAACTGGGCTTCGCGCGCTGGTTGGCTGGGCCGCCTCGCGTCGGCCGTACTCGATTCTTATTGGTCACTGTTTTTCGTTGATAACTCGTTAACGGTGCCTCGGAGAACATTTTTGTAAAGGAAGAAGTTGCTTCGAATGATCCGAGGAACCCGCCATTTCCGGATTGCGAGACATTTTTGGGACAGCCTGGAGACTGTTGTAAATCGATGTGAAGACAAAAGAAGTGTGAAACAATGCATACGAAGACGATTGTTTGGTTCAAACGATGAGCGAGTGAGCTACTAGAGCAAGCCACTATAGCGGCGCGTCGTCCAGAGAGATGACATCCGCGAAAGCCACTATAGTGGCGCGTCGTGCCTAAAAGATTAATCGGATAATTCGATTAAAACGCTTAATATTTTACCGACCGGTAGCGGTTCGAGAATCCTACGCCCTTCTCACCGGCCACTCAGCCGCATATTCTAGCCGCTGTCTTCGACGTTATTATTTATATCATCGTCTTCTGAATCACTGTATATTAGTGGTAATACAGAACGTCGCTTTCGAATCATTACATTACTGCTATCACTTTCGTCATCATTACCACTTGCTGAAGAGCGGTGAAGACAATCTGACAGATCATCGAGATAACACTCACCAACACTGTCCTTTTCATCCATCGCGAAGGCTAAATTTGTATAAACTGTATAAAAATATGGGCTGATTTCGGAGCAAAGCAACGAGTATCAGAATACAAAATAAGAAATGCTTGCTGCTTGCTACTTGCCAGTCTAACCTAATCGAATCTAACGGAAAATAAAAAAGTCGATTAATCGGCTACCGGTCGGTAATCGCTGGGAACAAAAAGTCGATTAATCGACTGCCGCTCGGCGAAGTGTTAATATGATAATTCCACCGAATTGAATTCAGGTTCGATGAACCTGTGGAAACTTTGCCGAGGTTTCTAAAGACCGGATAGGTAGTTTTTTGGGGCCGGATCGGGGACCAATTAGCCGTGAAAGGTCGACCACTTTCGAGCGAATTTCGAGATCCGGGATCAGCTGGCAGATCTGCTCCGAGGCAAATTATTAATGAAGCACGTAGGTGTAGCGACTCGATTTGTTGCGCACCGGAGCACGGTGAACGGTAATCAACGGCATGAAAAATTCGAAAATCTGTCGTACCGGATCGAACGAGATTGTAAACGCTTGTAGTACACGCGTGCACGATTATGTATTACCATTTTCGTTGCTTGTCATTTATTTTAACATTTTAACGACCCGATCGATTTTAGCTACACGAAGCGATTACGATACATTAGACACACTTTGTCTATAGTACAGTGTAATTGTGTTGTGGTTCGTCCACGATACAGTACAATTGTGCTATAGCCTGGTTAAAAAAATAATACAGACATGTTGTAAGCCGACGTGGATGCTGCGCAATCTGTATCGCAGTCTGATTATAGTTTTGCATAATTGCATCGCGGTCCGACTATGATACAAGCCTGTTATAAGCCCAAAGGTATTACGATAAAAGCGTCTCATAGTCTGTCGTACAGCATAACTTTGAGAGAACGAAACTATATAATATTACATAATCGAATTACAATCTCGCAACAATGAGAAGGAATTGTGTTTTCGCGCGGCTATACATATAATTGTAGCGCATTGGCATTGCGTGACTATTACATATATTCATTAGACCGACTATAATTCTACACCGATTCGCACAGAGTGGTCGTAACACCGTGTCATTATACAATTATACTCTAATCTTGTTCTTTCACCATTATAGAACAGCGTCGATCTGTGACCACGTTCTCGAGATGTATCGCAATGTAATATCATGAAAAATATCGTGGAACGGTGTAAATGTAGGACCGATCTTTGTTTTCGAAGCAGACGTTTCAAGAGAGCATAATTGTTTCAGATGTCGGAGTTCCCAGTGGAGGGAGGGGAAAGCGGTGACATGCACTCTGTCATGGAGAACTTCCAGAAGAACAACATCGTGACTGGCAGAAGTCATGTCACGCACCATCCGCAGGTCACCACGTCGTCGCAGGTAAAACTCCGAGATGATTTTCTATACTATTTATAGTATATTGTACATGTACAGTAATGTCTCCCTAATTGACGCTCAGATTATGCACAGAAATGGATACTTTAGGAAGAGGTGGTACCATTATTCGTGGCTTGAAGCTCATTTTTATAGTTGTTGACAATCGATAACCATAAAAGACGAGCCACGAGGCTTGAACAATCGTATCTCTTCCTCCAAAATTGTCCATTTTTCTGGACAATCTCAAGCGTCAATTGGAGAGACATTACTGTATATTTTCTATACAATTTATATACTATTCTCCCTAATTCGCGCTGAGATTGCACACAAAAATGAGCAATTTGGGAAGAGGAGATACAGTAATATATTGTATCTCCCTTACTGACTTTAGTCTCCCTTACTGACGCCTACATTGTCCACTAAAATGAATAATTTGGGAAGAGGAGATACGATTATTCGAGCCTTGCGGCTCATTTTTATAATAGTGGACAATTTATAACTATAACAATAAATCGCAAAGCTCGAATAATCGTCTCTTTTCTCCCTAAATTGTCCATTTTTGTGGACGATCGGAGCGTCAATTAGAGAGACATTACTGTACAATGATGTCTCTCTAATTCTCGCTCGAATAATCGTATCTTCTCTTCCAAAAATTGTCCATTTTTGTATACAATCGGAGCGTCAATTACAGAGACATTATTATACAATAAAGTCTCCTTAATTGACGCACAGATTATGTAGGAAAATGGACAATTTGGAAAGAGGAGATACCATTATATTCGAGCCTTGCAGCTCGTTTTTATAGTTGTTGACAATTCGTGACTATAAGGATGAACCGCAAGGATCGAATAATCATCTCTCTTCTCCCCAAATTGTCCATTTTTGTGATCAATCTGGGCGTCAATTAGAGAGACATTACTGTACAAATTAATCGAGCCTCGGGCCTCGTTTTTATAACTGTTGACGATCGGTAACTACAGAAACGAGTCGCGAGGCTCGAACAATCGCATCTCTTCTCCCGAAATATGTGAATTTTTGTGCGCGATCCGAGCGCGAATTGGGGAGAAATGGCTGTAGTCGTGAACCCGAGGTCCGGATAAATCCGGCGCGCTCCGTCGAGCGATAATTATGAAAGAAGCCGGCCGTTTGTAAACATTTCAGCGATAAGTCAACATCTAGCGAAACAAAGTGCGATAGGTTTGCCGCTCATCTGACTACCAAACGACGACAGCAGCATTCGATTAGCAAACACCGGAACGTCGCACTAAACACACCGCGTCTTCTCTTTTTCGCCTAATCGATCGATTGCTCGCTTCCTCGCATGCTACAAACCGACGACTGTTTTGGCGCGAAATAAGCGCTTCGCTTTCTGATAAATTCGCCGGCTCTCGCGCGTCATCGGCGGAAGGTCGCGACGCGTCTCTCGCCCACGAATCTCGCTTCTCCCGATCTTAGGATTATTCACCCCTTGATGAGAGAACGTCCAAGATTACGCCACGGTCGTCATCTTTCGCGCGATTGGTCCACGTGGACCAAGCTTGTTTACTCGCCGCTCGAAATTCGTTCGATACGTCGAACGGTCTCGCGAGGGCCTATTTATACGGGCTCTCGTTTCGGTCGGAATTGCACCGAAATAGACGTTCCGCGGCGAGCTGTTGCAATCGGCAAGGTGTTGGCAGCCGGCCGCCGATGCAGGTGGAAAACATTGAACCCTCTCGGAACCGTCGCAGACACGCCGAGCAACTCCGTTCCCCGAAACGAATCCGAGGCGCGCCGTTTCGCAGACTCTGCGACCCGAGAATCGATTAACGATCGGCGATCAGGATCGCGGAATCGCGGGCTCTTCTCGAAACCGTCGAGACGACGGTGTTTGTTTCGGCGATCTTCGAGCGGGATCCGTCGACGGACTCGATTATGCAACGATACAGAGTCCACGTGTTTCTGCGCCGCCCGTTCGTGCCGTTATCGTCGTCCTCTTTTAATTGCGCCTCGGACTTGGATCGAGCCTCGTTTTTCAAGCGGAGACCCGTCCGATGGCATTAAAAAAGAAGAAATTAAAATTAAATTAATTAAATTAAATTCAAAAGACTTTCTCCGTTGGTTGCGCGGACGTTCGAGGCTCGTGGAAAGCTTTCGTTGACCGAAGACCTTGTCCCTAGAACTCGGACGATTCTAACGTCTCATCGGTGCTTGTATTATACCGCGTTTAAATTCAGCGTACCAGTCGATAATAGATGATTTCCCTGGTGCAGAGTCCCCATAATGCTTATCGAGCCACTACGGTAATGTCTCTCTAATTGACGCTCGGATTGTCCACAAAAATGGACAATTTAGAGAGAAGAGAGACGATTATTCGAGCCTTGCGGTTTATTGTTATAGTTATAAACTGTCCACAATTATAAAAACGAGCAGCAAGGCTCGAGTAATCGTATCTCCTTTTCCAAAATTATCCATTTTAGTGGACAATCTGAGCGTCAGTATGGGAGACATTACTGCATTTGGCTCCAACAGTATTTTTCCCCATGGAAAAACAGTGTTTAATCAACGCACGAAATTCCTTTCTATCTATTATCTTGAAAATTATGAAACTAGGGTCACTAAAAGGACTGTAACCACTAAACCAACGGTCAGAATGCCATGAAATTTTGACACGTACTGTTCGAAGGCTGGTACTACAGTAATGTCTCCCTAACTGACGCTCAGGTTGCGCAGAAAAATGGACAATTTGGGAAGAGAAGATACGATTATTCGAGCTTCGCGGCTTGTTTTTATAATCGTTGACAATTTGTAATTATAAAAATGAACCGCAAGGCTCGAATAATCGTATCTCCTCTTCCCAAATTGCCCATTTCTGTGGACAATTTAGACGTCGATTAGAGAGACATTACTGTACCCGGAAATCACGCGGGTCCGTCGGCAATGTTGCCATATATGCGTCAGACCGGGGACTTATCGAGCGATTTATGTTATTTAGCACGGAGATCGATTTCTCGACGAATGTCAAGGTACGGAACCTTGAAGAATTCCGAAGAATCCGAGCCAGCAATCTCGAGCCGAGCTCGAAGAGTCCGAGAGATCTCGGCCGGACCTCAAGAGAGAGAGATCGTGAAATCCGCCGTTAGCCGGCCCGATACTTCTATCCGGTTGAAATAATTGAATAATCAGGGACCGGTATCCGCGTTTGCATAGGTTTGCGTAACGTCGCCCACGTGAATTTTTTCCCGCCGGTCGCCGGCGACCGAACTTCCAGGTCCGGGAGCCTTGAAGACCGACTTTCTCAAGGCTCGTTCGCCGAGACCGTTGTGCCGCCTCTCTTCGACGTCGAACGCGTTGTTTGGCACTATCGGTCCGTTCTCGTTTGGACATTTACCAGAACGGCCTCGCGGCTCGCGTTCGTCGGAACGGACGACGTCGCAGACGACGAGCGCGAAAGACGACGGTCCCGCCGTTATTTTCGGAGGCCGTTCTTTTCTCCAACGTCGTCCGTCGCGCGTCCTCCACGGGAGAGGCTTTCTCCATGCGGAGAACGCCATGGACAATGCGAGGCGACCCGCCTCGCTTCTTGGTTACACAGTTGGCGACACGATCAAAGAGCTTGGCGAACCGTCAAACGGTTTATTTCGACGCGAGTGCCGACAGAGTTGTTACAGTTTGTCACGGTTCAGAACGCTCGTTTCCTTCTTTCTTTCTCGCGCGAGAATGTTGTTCCTCGCAGACGCGTCCATGCCAATTGCGACGCCTAATGACAACAGCGTTCCTCGGTAAACTGCGCTCGAACCGGGAAAACAATGGTCGGAAAGGTCTAGGCGATGTTTCGAGTATTATTAAGTTCTGCGTCGATCGACGGAACGTTCTACACTGTTTGACAAACGAGCTTCCCAAAGGAGTCAACATTGAGAACATCCGCGACGCGCAGTTGGGTGCGAGATGAGGCAGCGCGTGAAGTGGACGGACACGTGAGAAGCGCATTTTTGTTTGCAAGAGATTTTTATCGCGCGTTCGAAAGCGCAAGGAAACTTGTAACGTTGATAAAAAAATACATATACAGGGTGCCCCAAAAATGTCTCGCAATCCGAAAGTAGGGGATTCCTGAGGTCATTTGAAGTATCTTTTTCCTCGGCGAAAATGCGATCCGCGGCTTCGTTTACGAGTTATCAACGAAAAACAGTGACCAATCGGAGGCAAGATCATTCGGCGCGAGACGGCCGAGCCGGTGAGCGGAACTGGGCTCCGCGCACTCGTTGGCTGGGCCGCCGCGCGTCAGCCGAGCTCGCCTCTTATTGGTCAGTGTTTTTCGTTAATAACTCGTGAACGAAGCCTCGAAGAAAATTTTCGCAAAGGAAAAAGTTGCTTCAAATGACCTCGGGAACCTCCCATGTCCGGATTGCGAGACATTTTCGGGACACCCTGTATTCTTTCGATCGACGAGAGAAACACGTTCCGTGCCACGGGCTTCGTAAAATAAACCATGGAAAATTGCAGCGAAATATCCGCGGTTTAGGCGACGATGTTACGCGCGTCTGTGCATCGCGCGCCGCTTCTGCTCGCAGCCGACGCGAACGCGGCTCTCTCGTTGCAATTCCTCGGTGCGAGTCGCAGTTTTACGTTCGCCGGGGGCAGCTAAAAAAGCCAGCGCAACGAAATTTCGCGTCGGCATTAAAAATTTGTCCAGACCCGATGACTCAGTCCGCCAATTTTAGCCCTGTTTCGTATTTATCCGGCGCGGCAACAAAATCGCACTGTTTTCTCTCGAGCATCCGATCCCCGGACGCTGTTTGTTTGAACGAACGTTGCCGAATTGTGCTCAGTTTACCTTCGCCGGAACAAAGGGGATACGCGATTCGTACACCGGGTGGCTCGAAAGCAGCGTGTTACGAGAATCACGGTGTATTATCGGATTCCTGGCCCGGCGGAAAATAAATATTATGCAAACGAAAGTCACGGAAAAGTGACTGCGAGATTGTTCGCGGGAAAAACGAGCGAGATAGTGGGGGCGCGAATACGGATGAGTAAGAATGGACGGCGAGAGAGCTAGCGAGAATTAGAGAGAGCGACGAAGAGAGAGAGAGAGAGAGATGAACGAAAAAGACGAATAGGCGCGAATGACTCATCCCACGTGGATTTTAAATAGAACGTAAACGGCTTTTGACTCGGCAGATGCTGACGACGAACCAGAGCCAGAGCAGCAGCAGCAGCTCGAGCAGGGTGGCCAAGTCCTCGCAGAGGATTCTTACCTCGTCCTCGTCGAGTGAGATGAAAGCTACCTCTATGAAGAACGACCTCAGGGAATTGAAACGCGGCATATCCGAGATGAAGAACAACATCTCCACCAACTTTTCGCAGCGGTTGCGCAACAGCATGGAGAACCTCGTTGACAGGTGCGTACTCTTATTATCTTATTATCGTTCGTTTCGTCCTCATTCGTATTCTTCGTTTCCTTTTTCCAAATCTGGACATTTTCTCTTTTATTCCTCTCATATTTATATCCGTCTAATTAAAGAACTTGGCGCTCTTTTCGAGGACCATTCTTCGCCGAACTGTGACAAATAATCGTACTTCGAACTAGATCTTGCTCTTCGGTGTAATTTACGCGTCCTAACACAAATTAACGACCTCTTCGTTTCGAGAAGGATACTTAAATCACCTAAATTAAACGAAGAGTAAATCTTTAGCTCTCTTGGAGCCGATGAAACGAGTACAGTAATGTCTCTCTAACTGACGCTCAATATCACTCTCGAATTGACGCTCAGGTTGTCCACGAAAATGGACAATTTGGGAACAGAAGATGCGATTTTTATTCGAGCCTCGCGGCTCGTTTTTACAGTTACGAGCTGTCAACAACTATAAAAACGAGACGCAAGATAATCGTATCTCCTCTTCCCAAATTGTCCACTTTTCTGCACAATCTTAGCGTCAGTTGGGGAGACATTACTATACATCCAATATCGCGTCTCTCCAAAAATTGCCACACTTTCACCCTTTTCCGAAACGATCGCCGCGGATGACTAACCCAAGATCGTCGAAATTGAGATCGATTTTAGATCTCGAAGAAAGGCCCCGGCTCCGAAGAATCGGACGATCCGCCGGTACAGACGCCCTCGCGGCGGCGGCGCAGAAAATAGTACGAAAAGTCCCTAGAAGTATCTCGAATCCCTCAACGCCCGCGCGATCGGCGAAGTCGCGGTCCAAGAATTATTTATAAACGCGTATTCCCGTTTTAGCGTCATCCCTCGCCGCGGTAATTTGCGGACGCCGCCACCGTGTAGGACGTGTCCACGTGGCTTTCTTGTGTCAGCGCGTTGAACGAGGACTTTGGTCTCTTTTTGCCGCAGGGACGGGAGCGGACCGGAAGAAACGGATTTGACAGAGCCATTGGTCACGTTCCCCGATCCCGACACACCACCCCCTTCGACGGGCACGGTTACTCTAACGGGTGGATCGCCTTCGCAGCTGAGCTCCTTGAACTCGCTGAACAATCTTCACAACATGAGCCCGCCGATCAGTATGACGAACATCTCGAACATGACCAATCTGCCTGCTGGACAGGAGACGATGAAGTTCGAGCAGAAGAAGATGACCACTGCTTCCAAAACCAAGGTCAGTCGGCCGTTGGTCGGCTTAATTTCTTAAGTCTGTTTCTCGTATCGAATCGTGTCGCTTTTGAAACGAATTGAACGCGTTCATTTTATTCGCTTCTTTTCAATTAGGAAAGAATTATCTCAGTATAACTCAGGGGTGACCAAACTTTTGATCAGTACAGTAATGTCTCTCTAATTGACGCACAGATTGTCCACAGAAATTGACAATTTAGAGAGAAGAGAGACGATTATTCGATATATTATATATTATTATATATATTATATATTTATTATATTTATTATTATTATATTATATATATTATATATTTATTATTATTATATATTATTATTCGATATATTATATTATATATTATGTATTTACGAATTGTCAAGGTTATGCAAGGCTCGAATAATCGTATCTCCTCCTCCCAAATTATCCATTTAGTGGACAATCTGAGCGTCAATAATGGAGACATTACTATACCATGTTCTCTTTTTTTAAATTATAGGCTGCGGTCTACCAACATCACTCGTATTAAGCGATCGTACAAAAAGTAGTAATTTAAAGCCAAAAATAGGAGTTTTAATTTCAAATAAACGTAGACAATATCGGACAAATGGGCGACTAGAAATAGTTACGCGGTCATCCCTGGTGTTGTAACTGGACTGGAATTAAAATTGTAGTTTCAAAGGTGGCCGAGAACATCGCCGATCAGAGCAGCGTGACATTCATAGATCGAGAAATGCTTGCTGGACGTTTCAGTCTCGATATTAGATACCGATCAGAGAGGATCGCGCGAAGCATACTTGCGATAGATTCGCTGTAGCAGTTCGATCAGAGATTATCAGTCCTTATAGGATTACCGGGTAGATTAAGAACACCGCTGGTCAGGCTAGAGTTGGCCAATCGTGTTTCTTGCAATGTTTTGAACCGGCGAAAGAAGCATCGCCTATTCAACGATGCTCTTCCAACGCGTCTGTGTTCTATTATCGATAGATTGCGACTCTTTCTATAATAACAGAGCGCGTTATTTGTTTGCGCGACAAAGTAGCAGATACTGTATCTTCTTATTAAATCCTTCTACACCGACAACTGGTTACGAAAGCTAGTCTCGTTCGTCCGAAAGCACGTTCTCGAAACTTCTCAGGATTTCCAACGAAGCTCGGAACTTCGAACGAAAAACTTGGAAGAACTTGCGCTTCGCAGCTCGCCGTGCGTTGAAGTCTCTAGTGACAGCGGGTGTTCCGGAGCAATTAGCAAGTTTCACGAGTCGTCCTTCCGTTCTGATATCGGGAATAAGAAATAGAATCGACGGAGCTGATTTACGAGTCCGAACGCGTCCAACGTTCGTTCCCGGTGCCTCGAAGGCATGCGAAACCGTTCGCGGGCCGTTTGATTCATGAACCAAAATCCGGCGGCATCTCGAAACGGGGACAATTTTAGAATCGACCGGGGGTCCTCTGGTTAGATAGCGGCCGCGTAACAATCGATGTCGCGTTCACGATCGTTCGAAGCTGCGCAACGTTTGGCCGGAGGTGCGGTTTCCTCTCGTTGTCCTTCACCTTATCGTCCTCGAGGGCCTGCCGTCGAGAGCAGGAACGTCGAAAATGCGCGATCTAGAGCATATCGGTTCTTCTGGCTTGCGAGTAAATTGACTCCAGATGTTCCGCGTTTACGACATAAATTAGCAGCGAAAACGAAGAAGCGAGGGAAGAAGAGCTTTCGCGCGGCTGCCGTTTGCCGCGACAGATGCGCGATGCTTTTATTAAGCGCGAACGAACGTTGAATCGTTCGCGAATCTTTAATCCTTCTCGCGGGACAATCGCTCGAGAAATCGAGGGATCCGCGATGATCTAGAACACGTTGCTCGCGTGTCAGTTATTTTTACCGTTGAATGTCACGCCCTACCGTCGACAGCTGATCTCTTTCCGCTCGGTTTCTATCTTTAACTTCACTTCCGTCACGCCGCCGTCGAAACTTCTCTCCCTCTTTCTCTCTTTCTCGGTTTCCGCAGACCGAGTTTCGGCGACTGGCGAGGTCAGTTTTTCCAAATCCCGCGGTTTCTCGCCAGACAGTTGCAACCGAAACGCTCGAAAAAGGCAACGGCCGGAAAAATATGGAGCGACGCTCGCTTATTCTTGCGCACCGAACAAACGATCTGTTCGACGCTCCACCGAACAGTCCATCGCGTCGATAAAATAGTTCAGCGCGTTCGGCAGACTCGCGACGCACCCAAATATCGAACAGAGACGTTCCGCTGCGGCTCTCTAAATCCACGAGCCTCGGTAATCTGTTTCGTGTTGTGAAACGAAGACGCTGCGCGGCGCGATAAACGGTTGCGTGAAAGATACAGCGGCCGATATCGCCGCCGAAAGCGATAAAGTTTATCTTCCAAATGGCGGTTCGTTACGATGTAACACTTTTTTTTATTTTGTTTTCGACGGCTCTGGTAACCAGCAGCGTAATTCGTAACGATTCCAGGTCGTCACCGACGGATTCAGCGCCGAGAAAGCGACCGCAAACAGTGCCGAGATGAGAGCCTTGCAAGCAGGAGACGTCTCGTACAAGGAACAAAGCGCCGCGACGGCGGCGAGAGCGAGGGTGGAGCTCGACGGCGTCTCGGCGGAGAAAAGCGTCGCTGCTGCGAGGGTGAGTGAACTTCGTCGTCCATCGGAACCCCGTGAAACTGTCCAGATTTGCCCAGAAACTGCCCGAACGACTTGCCCCCGATTTCGCTAAATTTCCGTCGTCCTAAGAAAAATTTTCCGTCGACGTTTATCATCGCAAAAATTTTAATCAAAACATTTGCCAAGAATCAAGTTTTCTTCGACTCTGAACAATGGAAATCCGCGGTCTTGGAACGGTTTAATAGCTCCGATCTCAGTCAGAAATGAAAACTTAGAACGAAGAATGTTTTTCCGTTGTTTCGTTGTTCGAGAAAGAAAATTTCGCCACCCTTATTTGCCGTAAAAGATGTTCCATAAATCAGAGCTCGTCTCCGAATGGATCGATAAAAATTCGAACGAGAAAAACGGAGAGAATTATATATACGGTCCATCGAATAAGGAAGCCTTGGAGCAACAATGTGCCCGAGCAGAAGCATCTTCTCTTTCTTTGTAATACGGCGAGCCCGTTGCCCACAGTCGGAACAACGTTCAGCGGCCTGCTGCGTGAGAACGAACGATCATCCTCTCTGCCCATTTAGGCGACAAAAGGATCTAAAGGAAGGCCTGCGCGCTCTGGGTGCGGCCTAAACTCGACTCGTAGAATAGTTTGGCACGAAACTCCACGCGCGGACTAACCACCGAGGTCGTTGACACTATTGCAACTTCGCGGTGACGATCTTTGAGGACTGATGCCGTTGACTGATAGCAGATAAACAGAGCAACGCTTTGTTGTATTCCTGGAAACGTTAATTTCAGTGTTCCGATAAGGAAGTTCTTAGCAGCGATGGAGAATCGATTAAATTCAGATGGTACACTTGGTACACGATTTTTTGGACGCTCCTTTCTCCATCGTCGACCTCGTCGAAATCGAATTGGGCCTACAATTGCGAATGTTCTTATGCAAGCTCGATCACGGACCTGTTCGAATCCACGGTATTAACCCTTTGCACTCGAGCGGTGACTCTGAGGCACCGTTAAGATTTGTTGTATCACGTTCTAAGATCATTTTTATATTAACAAAATTTAGATTTAAATTATTGTTAAGGGCGTAACTGTTGCGCGAGTCATATGCATCAAATGCACCATTGAAATTTGTTGCATCACGTTCTAAGATAATTTTTATATTAACGAAATTTAGATTTAAATAATTGTTAAGGGCGTAACCGTTGCGCGAGTCATACGCATCAAATGCACCATTGAAATTTGTTGCATCACGTTCTAAGATAATTTTTATATTAATAAAATTTAGATTCAAACAATTGTTAAGGGCGTAACTGTTGCGCGAGTCACAAGAGTCAATTTCATATGCATAAAATGCACTTTGCCGTATAAAATAGAAATACTATAAGCCAGAAAAATTATTCTAGATTTTTTTTTACGATTAAAATAGCTTCGAGTGCAAAGGATTAACATTGTTATTTGATTTTTATTTAGATTCTGACAATTCGTTTCAATTTTCACAAGTCTGATTGAAGTTTATACAAAGACTAACGTATCTAACAGAAACGTGTTAAAATATATGTTGGATAAACTAACAAATGAAATTACAAATCAACATATCATGTTACAATTTTGTCAGAAAGGGTCCGCCATTCGAGCGTCGAGAACGAATCATCTAATTCGGGTGCGAATCGTACAACAAAGCGATCGATTTATCGTGGGAACGATACGAGCAGGGTTTCCAAAGGCTTCCAAAACTCCGAAAAAATCCGTGGGGATTTCTGAAATTATCTGACGAAAATATTCAGGAAATGTTGCAACGACCGCTCGACTAATCAGTCAGTCGATACCTCCGATTCGTCCAATTGTCTAATTTAGTTGCGAATCGTGCAACAAAGCGATCGATTTATCGCGAGAACGATACGAGCAGGGTTTCCGAAGGCTTCCAGAACACCGAAAAGATCCGTGCAGATGTCTGAAATTATCTGACAAAAATATTCAGGAAATGTTGCAACGACCGCTCGACTAATCAGTCGATAGCTTATCTGGGCAGCGACAACGTGTCTCTCGAGATTGAAAAGCCCGCGGACGAATCGTCGGTGGACGGTCGTAGGAAGCTGCGGTTCCTTCTCCGATCGGGTTATTCGCCCCTTGGGAATCATCGAACTCGATTACAGGGACCCGTTGTTGATTACGCGCACACAACGGGACCCGTTTTCAAAGGCGGCGCGCGCGCTACGCGGCTAACTCGCCGCGCGCTCTCTCGTCGCCGACGGCACGCTAAATTTAGCCGTTTTTAGCCGGACTGCCACGGCAGTCGTTTTGACTCATCGACGGTATTTTTGAGCCGCAGCCAATTACCCTAACGTCGCGCAACGTTGTTCCCCGTTCCTCGACCCGCCAATCAAAATCCATTCCACGTCGCGAATCGTTGAACCGCTTTCAAAGTCGAGAGCAGTCTCGCTGTCAGCTGACGACGCTCGCTTTCGCGGACGAACGATAACGCAGAGTCAAGTACGATTCGCTTCGCCGTCATCTGTGTCGCAACAGCTCGACGTGCCGCGCAAGATGCACGGAATCGAGAAACAATCGGAGTATCGGGAATAATAGAGAATCCGATAAAACGGATGCCGAGATTTCTTTTGTACAATTTTTATTGCAACGTGAAATGCGTTTACGTACTTGTTACTGTTTGATATAGAATTAACTTTGAAAACAATTTGTTACATTGTAACAATTTCATATTGGATTTTTATATTCATATAATTTTCTGCAAGTGTCCGAATACTTTCGGAGAGGGGGTGTACTTGATCAGACAACATTTTAACGAAGCTATTCGCTGTCCTAAATATCAAAGTTTCTGAAGGCTGAAGCTCGTCTCCCCTTTCTTTGATCTTTCGTTCTCAAAGGACGCAGTCCGTGGACGATTCAAACGTTTCAAGATTCAAGATTCAGACGATTCAACGTCGCGACGATTCAAAGGAAAAAATTGGGAAAGTAAGCATCCGAGGGAAAGGACAAAGAGTAAAAGCCAGCCGAAGATGAATCGGAGTACAGTAAATTCTGCCTAATTGACGCTAAGATGGAGCAGAAAAATGGAGAATTTGGGAAGAGAAGATACGATTGTTCGAGCCTTGCAGTTCGTTTTTATAATTGCCGATTGTCAACGACTGTAAAACCGAGTTGCAAGGCTCGAATAATCGCAACTCCTCTTCCCATACTGTTCATTTTTGTGCACAATCTGAGCATCAATTAGAGAGACATTATTGTACAGTAAATTCTCCCTAATTGACGCTCGGATCGTGCAGAAAATGGAGAATTTAGGAAGAGGAGATACGATTGTTCGAGCCCTGCGACTCATTTTTATAGTCGCCGATCGTTAACAATTATAAAAGCGAATCGCAAGGCTACGGAATGGAATAATCGTATCTCCTCTTCCCAAATCTGAGCGTCGATTAGGGAGAATTTACTGTATATACACGCATAGTCGAGGCATCCTATCGATCCTGACGGTGGCGAGCAACTTTTCGGACGACCATAACGGCGCGTTCACCGCAGCCATCGAAATTCCTGCACGCGTAGGCGTTCCTAAGCGCGTGTTTAATGGAACTTTCGCGTGTCCGCCCTTCGTTTCAAAGGCCGAGCGAAAGGGCAACCCGTTTCCGTGGTTACCGCGGATCGTTCTCGCGTTATTAATCCCCGCGGAGCCTTGACCCGCGCGATAAACGGGCCGTTTTTTCCTTTATCGTAGATCCGTTCTCACGACACAACACCGTTGCTTTTGATCGAAATCTATACTCGCGGCTGCCTGCTCCGCCGTCTTTTTTTTTTATCGAATCCGGAATTGCCGACAGCGATTGACCTTTCGCGGCGGTGAAAAGCCACCTTGATCGCGCGGTACGCGGCAATATTTCAGCGATTACGCGAGCGATTATTGTTTTTAGGAGAATTCTTCTTGCCGAGTGCAATCGTCGACGTTTAGGGATCGAGAACAACCCCCTAAGAAGCTGTTTAGTAAATTCGTTGACTAGAAATCTTTCACTTTCGACGAGTCTCGTCGACTTTCGTTTACTTTTAGGAGAATTCTTCTTGCCGTGTGCAATCGTCGACGTTTAGGGATCGAGAACAACCCCCTAAGAAGCTGTTTACTAAATTCGTTGACTAGAAATCTTTCATTTTCGACGAGTCTCGTCGATTTTCGTTTGCTTTCGTCGACCGAGTTTTAACGATTTTCGGCGGCTCCCGTCGACGTTTCCGGCAAAGTACCGCATCGTTCGCGCACGATGGCGCACAAAGACGTCGGTCGCTATCTACGGGGGTGGCGGGCACATGGGGGTGGCCGTGGTCGACTGGAACGCCGGGCAAACCGCCGCCGACCCGGTCGATACACCACCCCCAAGGTGAAACAGTTCGTTCCTGGCGCTGTTGGTCGTCGGATCGCGCGTGTGTCCATGGGCCAACAATTGTCCAACCTGACCCGGGGACTTTTTCCCGTCCTGAGACCACCCGGGTGCGGCGTCGAGCGGCGGAAAATCATGGCCACCGATCCTGGGTTCGGCAGCAAAGCCGCGAAAACGGTACGACAACGACGAATAACAACACTCGCTCGCGTTTTCGTTGTTCCCTTCGTTCGTTCGAAGAAATAGTTTTGTAGCCGTCGCGATAGGATCGATCGTTCGAGATCTTATAGTTCGCTCTGGTTGCGCAGCAATGGTGGTGGTGGTGGAAGACTCGTCATCGGTTTTTTACGTTCGTTGTTCTCCGCAGAGCTCGCCCTAAGGGTGTCCGTAATCCAGGCATCTCGAATAATCGTTTCGTTCCTGTATTTTCTCGGAGAATGAAATTCCAGAATCGAATTTAGAATCGAATCATCCATTTTCTGAAATTAACGAGCTTGTCCCAGTGGTCGAATATCCGAAAAATATTTATTTTCGCGTGCAACGTAACAATTTTATCATTCCAACGCGAAGGATATTTTTCTTCAATTTTATCGTCGAGCATTCCGTCCCGAATTTCTCATAAAATTACTCGAGGACCAAAAGA